TCACCTTTCTCTGAAATGGACACAAATACGGATCTCTTCCAGTCAGTTGGCCATATAGCTGTATTCCAGATTTCTTGGCATAGATGAGTGAGCGCTTTCAGTGTTGCATCCGTTTGTTGAAACATCTCGTTTGGTGTTCCATCAATTCCTGGAGCCTTGTGTTTCGCCGGTGTCTTCAGTGCAGCCTTCAGTAGCATCAGTTCTTGATCATGTCCTGCCTTCTGAAATGGTTGAATGTTGACCAATTCTTTTTGGTACGGTGACTATGTATTCCTTCCATCTTCTTTTGATGCTTCCTGCATCATCCAATATTTTGCCTATAGAATCCTTCAGTATTGTAACTCGAGGCTTGAATGTTTTCTTCAGTTCTTTCAGCTTAAGAAATGCTGAGTGTGTTCTTCCCCTTTGGTTTTCTAATTCCAGGTCTTTGCACATTTCATTATAGTACCTTACTTTGTCTTCTCAAGCGGCCTTTTGAAATCTTTTGTTCAGCTCTTTTACCTCATCATTTCTTCCTTTCAGTTTAGCTACTCTGTGTCTCTTTTGACATACATTTTGGTCTTTTCTTTCTTTCCTGTCTTTTTAATGACATTTTGCTTTCTTCATGTATGATGTCTTTGATGTCACCCCACAACTTGTCTGGTCTTTGGTCATTAGTGTTCAGTGCATCAAATATATTCTTGAGATGGTCTCTAAATTCAGGTGGGATATACTCAAGGTGGTACTTTGGCTCTCTTGGACTTTTTTCAATTTTCTTCAGTTTCAGCTTGAACTTGTATATGAGCAATTGATGGTCTAGTCCACAGTCGCCCCCTGGCCTTGCTTTGACTGATGATATAGAGCTTCTCCATTGTCTCCACAAATGTAGTTGGTTTGATTCCTGTGTATTCCATCTGGTGAGGACCAAGTGTATAGTTGCTGTTTGTTATGTTGTTGAAAAAAGATACTTGCAAAGAAGGAGTAGTTGGTCTTGGCAGAGTTTTATCCTGTGATCTCCTGAGTCATTTCTGTCACCAAGGCCATATTTTCCAACTACTGATCCTTCGTTTCGTGCATTCACATTCCAATCACCGGTAATTATCAATGCATCTTGATTGCATGTTTGATCAATTTCAGACTGCAGCAGTTGGCAGAAATCTTCAATTTCTTCATCTTTGGTATTAGTGGTTGGTGCGTAAATGTGAATAATAGGCATATTAACTGGTCTTCCTTGTAGGTGTATGGATATTATCCTGTCACTGACAGCAATGTATTTCAGGATAGATCTTGATGGTCAGCGTGATGCCTTTCCTCTTCAGTTTTTCATTCCCGGTGTAGTAAACCATGATTGTCTGATTCAGTATGGCCAATACCAGTCCGTTTCAGCTCACTAATGCCTAGGCTATCTATCTTCAAGCATTCCATTTCATTTTTTACTACTTCCAGTGTTTCTTGATTTTATATTTCATACATTCCATGTTCTGATTATTAATGGATGTTTGCAGCTGTTTCTTTTCATTTTGAGTCATGCCACATTGGCAAATGAAGGTTCCGAAAGCTTTACTCCATCCACGTCATAAAGTCGACTCTACTTTGAGGAAACAGCTCTTCCTCAGTTATATTTTTGAGTGCCTTCCAACCTGAGGGGCTCATCTTCCGGCACTTTTTATCAGACAGTGTTCTGCTGCTATCCATAAGGTTTCCACTGGCCAATTTTTTGGAAGTAGATCGCCGGGTCCTTCTTTCCAGTCTGCCTTAGTCTGGAAGCGCTGCTGAAACCTGTCCATGGATGACCCTGCTGGTATTTCAAATTCACCAACAAGCAAGCCACCACAGTATGACAGACTGACAGATGAGTGGTGGATTTTCCCTGTACCTGACCTTAAATAGAATTAGTACAGTAGTGTATTACACCTGTGACATACATCCTCATTTCCTCAACAGTCTTCCCATCTACTGCTGTTCCTGAGCTGCGGAGCTCTCCTGATTGAGCCCACCCATCCAGTTCTATCAACTAAGAAAATGTTTTATTCCCACTCCAGGCAGGAGCAGGTCTGGAAGACCTTTTTTAAAAATAAGATTAAATTAACAGTCAAGGTATCAGGAAACTCGGTGATGTTATTCACGTTTGGATGATAGCATCCAGTTTCCTAGCTGATACCTTGACTGTTTTGATCTTATTTTCCAGATAAACAGATGAGCTTGAAGATAATGTATACTGACTAGTAAGACCTAGTAAGAGCAGGGAAGCTGCAGCTTTGGGGAATAACCAGCTGGTAGCCCTTTTCATCTTTTAAACTGCTCTGCAATGGCCATGTTCTAAAAGGTAAAAACACTTTGTATAGGGCTGAGGAGCCCTGTGAATTATCTCTTTTTAAAAGGCTTAATTTCTGAAACAAATAACTTCATGTACCTTTTAACCCATTTTACACCAAGTCATTTTTCCTGATTAAGTATTTTCATTCACTAATATCTGCTAAAGGAGCCCTAGTGGTGCAGTGGTTAAGCTCTTGGCTGCTAATTTAAAAGTCAGCGGTTGGAACCCACCAGTGGCTCTGTGGGAGAAAAGACCTGTCAGTTTGCCGTAAAGATCACAGCCTAGGAAATCCTTTGGGGCAGTTCTGCTCTGTCATATAGGGTCACTATGAGTCAGGATCGACTCGATGGCACACAACAACGATATCTGGTAATATCCACCATTAGTGTAATTAATGTCGTATCAAAGGGTGTAGGTATGTTTTAATGTCCACCAGCAGAATTTGTAATATGATGATCTCTGCTTAGACTGTAACACCATCCGCTTAGGAGAGGTCTGTATAACTTTGGTGAACCAGAGTCTGATCATGGCTTTATTTTTCCTGTGTTCTGACTGGGTTTGTTCTCTAATGATCACTGTAATTCAGCAAATGTTCATTGAGCACCTGCCATGAGCAGGTGAAACTGGCTAAGTTAGATTTGTGTTTCCAGTTTCTCATCAGGTATGTGGCTTAACTCTCAGTGAGTTATGCTGAACCAAGCAGTGTTTGTCCCATTTTGGGTGTAAATACCTACCAGGCTTCAAGGATTATTCAGAAGACTCTGTGCCTGCTTCTAAAATAGATAGTTTGATATGTTCATTAGATTTATTTTTTTAAGATGAATGTTCTTGCTTAATTTTTAGCTTGTCACCTGAAGGGACTGGCAGTTACCTGTATGTGGGTCTGGGTGTGCGGTGTCGTCTGCCTTGCTCTTGGGCATAGAACTCCCACAGGACGCCTCTCACACCCTTTGCGCGTTCCCTCCTCCCAGGTCCTCTTCCTGACTACACCCCTCCGGAAATCTTCTCTTTTGAAAGTACTACTGGATTTACATTGTATGGGATGCTATACAAGCCTCATGATCTGCAACCTGGAAAGAAATACCCCACTGTGCTGTTCATATATGGGGGTCCTCAGGTGGGCATGTTTAAGTACATATATACATACATGTGTATTACGTATAATTGAGGTCATTTGTGTTTTAAATGTCTAGTCAGTTTGTTTAGGTGGGGGTTTTAAGCATCGTTGGGCCTCCGCTGTTCTCAGCTCTGGCTTATGTTCTCATTGTTTCATTTAGGAGTTCAAGAAGCTGGGTTTTGTTAGATGGCTGATTTGTAAATCAGACAATTTCTTAATTTACATTGAGAACTGTAACTGTCATGGGGACTGGAATATTTGTGTCATGGGTAAATATGTTGCTTTCTATATAGGGAAACTCGTTTGGGAAATCAAATTAAATAAATTTCTTGGTCGATAAAGAGAGTTTCAACAGATGTTTCAGAAAGCCTTGGTAGCCTAGGGAATCTCCTCTCATTCTAAGGCTCCGTCTCTCAAGCAGCCTAGAATACGTTTATCGGCTAGTTCAGGTAATTGACTGATGTACTGCTCTTTGGCACTGGAAGAAGTTCACACTTTTATTTTTGTTTTTCTGGATGAAATATTAGCATGTGAGTATTAAGTAGATGCTCTTCACTGTCAGTAAAGTATTATGGGTAGGTGAATTGGTTAATTGGTAATTTAAAAAAAAATTCCTGATTATATGTTTTACATGGAACGCTTGAAGAAATTCCAGAAGTAGAATATAATTACAGTGCATAGGACAACTCTTACAAGATAATACAACTCTTGGTCTCAGGAAATATCTTTTATAATTATACCCAGTTATTCAGTATCTGGAAATGTATCTTGATACGAAGTCGTCCAAGGAATGAATGAATGAATGAATGAATGAATGAATGAAATAACTAACTAACTAACTAACTACATAAGCCATAAAATCTCTGGGATGACCATCATATATGATCAGTTAAATCACTTTGCCACCGTTAAAATTGTTTATAAACAAAGCAAGCATGATTCACATTCATAGCGTAGTCATCTACACATAAGTTATGACAGCATTCAGTTAGACTCTTCTTAACAACTTAAAGCAAGAATCTTATAAACTTAATTAATTACTGTTATAACGAGTCCTTTAGTCTTAAAGCAAGAATCTTTGTAAACTTAATTAATTACTGATATAACGAGTCCTTTAGTCTTAAAGCAAGAATCTTTGTAAACTTAATTAATTACTAATATAACGAGTCCTTTAGTCTTAAAGCAAGAATCTTTGTAAACTTAATTAATTACTGATATAACGAGTCCTTTGGTCTTAAAATGGAACCAGCTAGTTTTTATGGTGTCTTTCAGATAGATCGTTTCTTCACCGGGAAGGACACCCTTCTTACTAAGCCTTACTATCGAAGTAATATAACAAGACATGCAAAGCGTTTGATAGTGTCCTGTAATTTCTGTTTTAAATTTCTTTGTATTAAGTCTTTTTTAGTTTAAAAAGTCTTAGCTGGTACAGTTAAAACAAAATAGTTTGGAGTACTTTATGAATACAGCTGTACTTTTGCACTTATAGAAATAATCATATCTGAAATGCTAAAAATGAATTCAACATGTGGTTTTTGAAAAGCTGCAGATGACAAAGGATAATTTGTTGATATCTTTCTCAAAGTATTCTTTGGAAGCATTCAAATTTGGTGAGGTCATAGGAGAATGTATCTCGTGTTCAGTTTGCCAGGCCCAGTTCCCCATGGGATGCTGCCTGATACGGTGATTCTGGCACTTCAGCCCACTTTGAGATCATTTGGCCCCTTGCCTGATGACTCTATGGGGTTAATTGTGAAGAGACTTCTTAATGTAAGACCAGGCTTTCTAGTAACTCACCATGGCCTTGCGAAGTTTGATTAAATCTTACAAGAGTGAGATGTTTGTGTGATCTTTCTTAGTGTACCTTCAGGCAGGATGGTCAAAGTGAGCATCCTTTGAAGCAGCAACAATGTCACAATACCTAACATTAAATACATTACTTTATCACTAAATGCAACAATTTCTGTAGATCAGACAAGAGTAAAGTAAAAGAAACACAAGAAAAGCAACACATATTTTCCATTAAAGTCATCAAGGCTCCAGCCTTTAAACTCTCCATTGATAACAGCTGTAGATTTTTAAGTGTTTGTTTATTAGATGCTTATGGTGCTTCCTATGTGCCAGACACATTTATGTGAATATAAATGCACAAGAGAGCAAGCTAGGTGATAGTGGGACACAGATTTTGAGAATTGATGCTAAAGACGACTTTGGAATTCTCTGTGCCAAAGGGCATTCATTATGTTGAAGTGCTTTCTTCAAGAAGCAGCAGGCCTCCAGGTTGTAAAGGCTGAAATGTGGGCTCTGGGAGAAAGTGTTCCTATCAGGCAATTGAGGCCTTCTTCTATGCTTGATAGGAGCTCTGGTGGCGCAGTGGTTAAAGCACTTGGCTGCCAACCAACAGGTCGGTGGTTCAAACCCACCAGCCGCTTGTGGGAGTAAGATGTGGCAGTCTGCTTCTGTAAAGATTACAGTCTTGGAAACCCTATGGGGGCAGTTCTACTCTGTCCTGTAGTATCGCTGTAAGTCGGGATCCACTCAAAGCAAAGGGAATGGGTTTTCTTTAAATGCTCCGTAATTGTTTTCTTCCATGCCTAGTATTTCTTTTTTTCAGCTTCCTCCCTTTAAAAACAAGTACCTTTGCCCATCAAACCACTTCCTCCCAAAGTAGGAAGTGAAAACGTCATTCTCATCTCTGTTTTTTATTTATTCATTCAGCAAATAGTTATTGAGTCCCTCTTATGTACCAGGTACTGTTCTAGGCAGTAAGGATTCTGCAGTGAACAACTCAGACTAAAGTCCCACCCCCTATGGAGCTTAATGGGCAGGTAATAGACAAGTAGACGTATAAATGATACAACTTCAGATAATGCTATGAAGAAATTAAGCTAGAAAAAGGGATAGCAAAGTGACTAAGATGGGGTGGGGAGCTGTCCTAATAGAAAGATCAGGGACGGCCTCTCTGAGGATATAAAGGATCAGAAGAAATGAGCCATGTTAAGATCTGAGGGGAGAGCATTCCGTACAGTGGTAACCCTACCTGTGAAGGTACCGCAGTGAGAACCAACTTGCTGTGTTCATAACAAGGAGACCAGTGTGGTTAGAGCGCAGTGAGCAAGGGGGTCTTAGTATAAGATGAGGTCAGAGAGAAAGCCAGGGCCAGATAATGGAGGGTCTCAAAGGCCATGGTAAAGAGTTCAGACATTATTCTTAAGGGTAATGGTAGCTGTTGGAGGGAGCCAGGCAGCAAAGGCATATCTGGTTTCCATGTTTAAAAGATCACTGCTGCCAAGTAACAGACTGGAGGAGAGCACGGATAGAAGCAGGAAGGCCAGCTTGGCAGTTGTGGTGCTAAACATCCAAAAGTGCAAAAAGAGAGGGTTCTTTTATCTGCTGCACAATTAGCCCAGCAAATGCTCAATAGTTTTTTTTTTTTTTTTGTTAAGATAGTGTTAATTCTTACTTAACTCCTAGGTGACATAATATTCCATTGGTTTCAGCCAGAGAAAATGTTTTTCTTTCTCATTTTGCCAGAACCTTTCTTTATTTAATATCTATCTTAGTGTCTACGAGACCTTGAACTTTTGTAACCTTCTGTCCACTATTTATAGTCCTCTTTTCACTAGATATCCTGTTCCTGGTGAAGCACTAAATTACATTTCATTTCTCAGTCATTGTGAAGTATAGTCTGTAGGGTGGTAAAGTCATTTAAAAATTTTCCTACTTTATTGCAGTGATTTGTGTCACAGGAAAAAAGAAGCCAGACTGGCCACAGTGCTCCACTCGAATATTAAGTTATTGCCACTGCTAGTCAGAGATGAGCTCCGAGGAGGTGGCTGGGGAGGGAGGAGGATCTGTTTATCATTGTTGCTGTTGTTTGAATGACACAGTTCTTCTTCAGGGTAGAAGTCATCATTTTTGTAACTATTTCTGTTGGACGGAGCGAGTCTCTTGTCTTGTATGTAATTAGCATCTGGGTTATGGTTGTAAAGTCTCTTGTTGTGCAGCAATCACCCTGCGTCTTGAGTGTAAAGTTACACAAGCGGCAACATCAACGTGAAAAGATTTAAGTTATTTTGAGAATGAATGACTTAAAAATTGTATATTAAAAGACAAAATAACCAAAAATTGGGCTTTCTCCTTTTTGCAGAGTTCTGCCTCTCTCTCGTTTTTGTATGCTGACCGCATAATAAATTCCACTGAAGTTGTATTTCTTCTCAGGTGCAGTTGGTGAATAATCGGTTTAAAGGAGTCAAGTACTTCCGCTTGAATACCCTCGCCTCTCTGGGTTACGTGGTGGTGGTGATAGACAACAGGGGGTCCTGCCACCGAGGGCTGAAATTCGAAGGCGCCTTTAAATATAAAATGGTGTGTGAGCATAAAACATTTTCTAAAAAAATTCACGTTTTTCTGTTGCATTGTTTTGTGTGAAACCCCAGAGAGAGAGTTGGAAGAAGGGACTGTGAATGTGAGAGTTTGTGTGTGTGTGTGTGTCTGTGTATATTTGTGTGCGTGTTGGAGTTGGCAGGTGGGAGGGAAGATGCAACTCCATACTCTCTAGGCTAGCTCACGTCTACCTGTATGTAACTTTGGGGAGCTGAGATAGAGCTACTTATGCATAGAAAGACCCTCTCTTTCCATTTTCGATGTCCAGCTTAGCCAGAAGACAGCATTATTTAGTTTTCAGCACCCTGTACTCTATGGAAAGGAATAAATGAGATTTGTTCTGTCCTCTGTGAAGAGGGAAACCAACCAACTGGTTAGTGCCTTCCTTGTGACAAGCCTCTTTCTCTCTACAGGAAGCTTTAAATGCTACCTTTTAGAGATGCCCCATGTCCCTTCTGCTGCTTTGGGAAATGATGAGAATCCGATGTTCCTTTTGCACAGTAAGGCAGTTACTGTGTTTGCCAGTGTATTGGACATGCTGAGTAAGACATGGGGAGTTTCTCCCACAGCCAGTTCTTTGACCTTATGTTGTATTCTCATGTAAGTTTTTTTTTGTTTGTTTTTATTTTTGTTTTTGGCTCAGTGAAATGAGATTATGTGCACTGGCAGGCCTAGTAATACAGACAGGGTGGTGGTTGTAGGAACTAGAACTTAATAGGACTTTAAATAGTATGTTCAGTTCTTAGACGTAGTATGCTTGGAGAAATAGGGCAGGGCCTCAACAGAGATTGCCTCTGCTTTCCTGAGTATCAAAAAGGAGGAGTTAAATCGATCAGCCAATTAAGGGGGCTAATTTTTTGTCTTTGGGTAGGGGAAGGCTTGTTGCAAGGAAGATGCCGACCTCTTAGCAGACAACAGAACAAATGGAAATGATTACAGCAAGGGGCAGTTTAGGTAGCAATAGAAAAGAACTTTATGACTGAGGAGTAACTAAACTCTTAAGTCAGGCTAGCAGCAGAAGCTTATAGGCCCCTATCTCTAAATAGATTTTTAAAAGTGATCTTTGGGCAACAGAATCTCAGTTGATAATAAATTCCAATCTAAAACCATTACAGGTATTTTTAGTAAAAACATTTATTAGCTTCATAAGCACTCTTATTATGAGATTTTTATTGATCGGGGTGGATCAGTCAAATGTGCCCCTTTTTTTGACAGGGTCAAATAGAAATTGATGATCAAGTGGAAGGACTCCAGTATCTAGCTTCTCAGTATGATTTCATCGACTTAGAGCGTGTGGGCATCCATGGCTGGTCCTATGGAGGATACCTCTCCCTGATGGCATTAATGCAGAGGTCAGATATCTTCAGGGTACGTGATTGCCTCCTATGCTTGTTTTTGCAATAAAGGTAGATAGAATTTGCTGTAAATTGGGGATATGAGAAAATGCCTGTTTTCTGAAGGTTTTAAGAGTTGGCATTGTTATGAAATGTTAGGGTTTGTGTGTTTAATAGCTATGTGAGATATGTAGACACACACACACACACACAAACACACACACACACACACACACACACACATATACTTTTCAACTAGGTGATCAGTTATTGGTTATTTATAGACATATGCCAAAGATTTGGGAGATAGTCATAATTAGTAAAACACACACACATACATATTGGATTGTAATTTTTTAATTGTTGGACTGCAAGCTCTGAGGGCAGGATGCACCACGGTACCCTCAGCAGCAGCCAGACACAGGCTTGGCTCTGACCATGAGTCTGTGTGGAATGACGTCATTATTAAATATGTAAATGATGATTATAATTATATAAACATTCTTAGAAGAATATACTAGAGCAGAATACATAAAGATGCTAACAGTTGTTAAGAGGGTGCAAATTATGAGTAGTGTTTTTCTTTTTTTAATATTCCAAAAACATGACTTTTATAGTAAAAAATCATGTTTTATTTTTAAGAATAAAAATGATAGGCCTTTTGTTCTTGTGTGTATATTCAAATAGTCTTTATAATAACCACAAAACTAATTCTGCAAACTACCATGATTTTCCCAGGCCTGCAGCTGTTGAGAAAGTAATTAGAATATTTAAATAGAAAACTGTGTGAGAGCCTTAAAATGAGACCAGTTTTAGTACTTCAATATATTTCATTCATAACTTTTAATTCTGTACTGCCAACAGAGGCTGAAAAAAGTAGCTGCTTTTCCTCTATAAAGCTGACAATTCTCACACCTTTTTTTCCCAATAGCAGGAATGAGTTTACCCTGAGCCATTCATAGGCTCTAGTTCAGCCTCCTCTCTAACGAAGGGGCCCACGTTTGCATGCCAGCTAGCCCAGATGAGGGGTATGGTTTGCTGCACGACGGAACATGAAGCTGACTGACTCACAAAGTATCAAATCCTTGACCTTGGCGCTACCCTTTGATTTTCTCAGTTGCCTGAGACCATATATGTCCCTGTCATGGGGCTAAAGCCTAAGGATAATTTTAGCCTGTAAATTTGCAATTTTAAGTTCTCCTTGCTATCCCTCATTTTCTGGACCACACTTGACTGTCAGTGTTGGCTTATACAGGTCGCTATTGCTGGGGCCCCAGTCACGCTGTGGATCTTCTATGATACGGGATACACGGAACGTTACATGGGCCATCCTGACCAGAATGAGCAGGGCTATTACTTAGGATCTGTGGCCATGCAGGCAGAAAAGTTCCCTTCTGAGTAAGTTCAAGCTTTCAAATTAAGATTATAAATTTACAATTGTATTTATTTAAAATGTCTTTAATAATAATGAAAACTACAAATAATGAAAAACTAAGATTAATATTTTATGGAATACCAGCATGGCATGGCTCTTTCTCAAAGTTGAGTAAGTACTTGCTTCATTACAGATCAGTTCATATAATTTGTTTTTATAAGAAGTGTATTTAAAGCAATTGCTTCAGGATGGAAAAAATTATGTCTCTGCTTATTTTACAAATAGTGTTTATAATTTGTCTTTTTCTAGAAATGTGTTATAATTATTAATGTGTGCTAATATCCCAGGAAATTGGGCACGTGATCTTTTTTTTTCTTTTAATCTTTCATTACATGTAAAATCTGGTTAATGGATTATAAATTTAATATTAAGAACGTTGAGTCCTTAATCTAACGTTATAGTAAAAGGAAGTTAACATAGTTAAGTGTGATTAGTTTAAGTGACTTAAGTGTTTTCTGCAAATACTCTACTATTTTGTCTAATCCTCTTGATATTTCCATTTCTCCAGGCCGAATCGTTTACTCCTCTTGCATGGGTTCTTGGATGAGAATGTCCATTTTGCACACACCAGTATATTACTGAGTTTTTTAGTGAGGGCTGGAAAGCCATATGATTTGCAGGTGAGTTATTCTGCATTTTCTAATAAACGAAGTAGTGATCCATGATTGATTGCTTTGAAATCTGATAAAACTGTGGAAGAAAGCAAGCTACGTTTTCAACTGTGACCACCCTGTAATAGACATAGTCAGTAGCCCTTCTGGTTGGATAAAAGTGCAGACTCTGTTGAAGTCAGGCTGCAAGACTGGTCTGTCCAGCTACATGACTTGTGTAAGCACGGAAAAGATGACAGGGAGTCAGTCCGTTTACTGTCTTCCTTTGCTTCCTCTTTTCCCTTTGAAGGGTAAGGAAATGCTGCTTGATTCAATTGTTGTAAAAGGGTTTTTAGGCCTGGTTACATGATCCTTTCATTTTCTCCCTTTGATTTTGCATTGGCATTAGAGCCCAAATCAGCAGGTCACCCTCCTCCATTGATCCATTGCTCAAAAAACAATAGTTCACGAGAAACGCTTTTTTCCTCCTTCCTCAAATTCTGTGTCCGTAAGAAACGGAAAGTGTTTCCCTTCTGTATTTCAGTTGACATTTATGTAGGTAGAGTCTGAGACATTTGTCTGTAACAGCAGTTCTCCAGCGTTTTAGGGTCTTAGGGTCCCTTTACAGTCTTAAAAACTATTGAGGATCCCAAAGAGCTTTTGTCAGTGTGGGTTATATCAGATTAGATATTAACACTGAAAAAAAGGTTTATTAATTGATCTTAAAATAATAATAAACCATTACATGTTAACACAAATAACATTTTTATGGGGAAAAAACTATGTTTTCCAAAACAAAAAAAAATAATTTACTGAGAAAATTAGCATTGTTTTACATTTTTGCAAATTCCTTTACTGTCTGGCTCAATAAAGAAGACACCTGAGTTCTCTCATATCTGCTTCTGCATTCAGTGTTCTGTGCCGTGTTGTTCTGGCTAATGTATACAAAGAAAATTCAGCCTCACAGATTATGTAGTTAAGGAAAGAGAAGAGTATTTTAGCCTTTTCAGATGATTATGGCTATTCTTTGATACTACACCAAACTTGTCAGTTGGTAGTTTCTTAAATGTTAGTTATAGTGTGGAATCTGAAGCGATATTAATAAACTTTTTATATTCTGTTGCATTAAAATCCATTGGCTCTTGCACTTCGGATGGATCTTTTACCCATACATCAGTCATCTGGATGTGTCTTCCAAATGTTGACTCATTTCATTACGTAATGTTAAAAATAAAAAAGTATTAATATACCACTGATTTCATCAAAAAAAGGTCTCTTGATATACACACGGCCCACAAGCACATGAAAAGATGCTCAACATCATTAGCCGTTGCCAAAAAAAAAAAAAACCCGTTGCTGTAGAGTTGATTTTGACTCATTAGCCATTAGAGAAATGCAAATCAAAACCACTATGAGATACCACCTCATCCCTGCTAGAATGGCTATGATTTAAAAAAGGAAAACAACAGATGTTGGCAAGGATGTGGAGGAATTGGAACCCTCATCTATTACTGATGGGCATACAAAGTGGTATAGCTGCTGTGGAAAACATTTTGGCAGTTTCTCAAAAAGTTGAACATAGAACTCGATCATATGACCCAGTAATCCCAATCCTAGGTATATACCCAAAGGATTTGAAAGCAGGAACACAAACAGAAACCTGTATACCAATGTTTGTGCAGCACTATTCACAATAGCCAAAAGGTAGAAACAGCGTAAATGTCCATCAGCAGATGAATGGATAAACAAAGCATGGTATATACATAAAATTATATTACCTACTCAGCCATAAAGAGAAATTAAGTCCCGATACACACTACAACATGGATGAACCTTGAAAACATTAAGTAAAATAAGTTAGTCACAGAAGGACAAATACTGTATGATCTCACTTATATGGAATAGGCAGATATATAAAACCAAAGTTTATTAGTGGCTACTGGGGAGGGGAGGGGAGGGGGGAGGGGAAGTCACTGTGCAGGGGGCGCAGAGTTTTGACAATGATGGTAGAATTCAGAACAGGACAGTGGCGGTGGTTGTACAGCGTGAAGAATGTAATCGCTGTCACTGAATTATACATGTAAAAATTGTTGAATTGGCAAATGTTTTGTTATGTGTGCTTGTACCACTATTTTAAAAAAAATGAGTACATGTCCTAATGACATTTAAAAAAAAAAACCAAACCCATTGCCACTGAGTTGATTCCGACTCATAGCGACCCTATCGGACAGAGTAGAACTGCCCCATAGGGTTTCTAAGGAGCGCTTGGTAGATTTGAACTGCCAGCCTTTTGGTTAGCAGCTAGCTCTTAACCACTATGCCACCAGGGTTTCCAATGACATAGGGCAGAAATAATTTCTGTCTTCCCATGCAGAAATTGAAAATTATATAATCTGTGAATGGGACATCTCGATCCCCAAATGAACATGGTTCTAGTTATAATAAAACCTACATTTATATCATCTTTGAAAAAAAATAAGTCTCAGGTCTTGGGAAGCTCATGAGCTAATGGTGGTAGATAGAAGTTTTCCAAAATTTTAGTTTTCTCTTGAAAGCTTGAATTTTATCATTGACAACAAATACTGTCAGCATTGCCCTGGACATGACTGGCTCACTTCATTCATTTTTGAGAAGACGTTTGCCAGATACTCAAGTCTGGAAAACCGTAGTTTGTCAGTCATTCTTTCAAGTTAAAAATGGAATTTCATTTAAAAAAAGCAGCAGTTCAGCTTGCAACTCAGTTGCACAGTACTTTTCCTTGAGACAGCCATGCTATTTCAGTGTATAGCAGAAGTTCTTTATGCGTACTTCCCATTTCATTACCACAGAATATTAAAAAGACACCTTTTCAAGGGTTGCAATTTAATAAAATTCTCATTTTTACCGCTACTTAAATGAAACCAGCGTTTTCCTTTCTTTATTGCAAGTGCATGCGGGTGAAGAGTTCAGTGACTAGTACAGTTTAATGTCACTGCCTTGATTCGTGCTTCGACCCCAGTGGTTTCAGCCACCCTTGCTTTTTCATCAGAGCGCAAATGCTAACAACAGTGAATAAGGGCACTATGCCTTAGGGTTGGTCTGATAGTAGTTTTGACCTCACCTATCCCTTGAAAAGTGTTGCCAGGGACCCCTAGAAGTCTACAGACCGCACATGGAGTACCATTGGTCTACAGATAAATCCTTCTGTAAGCCTAATGGTATATAGGGGATTGTAAGGAGAGGGGCCGTTACATCGGCTGTATGTGTGTAATATCTTGGAGAGGCTGTGTACCGTATTGTTAATCCTGTTAAATATCTCTGGGAAGCTTGGGAAGGAGATGTATCATTAAATGCTTCTTTTTTATATTTTGTTTTTTTTATTTTTTGTTTTGCTTTTGTTGTTGCTGTTAAGATCTATCCTCAGGAGAGACACAGCATAAGAGTTCCTGAGTCTGGAGAACATTATGAACTGCATCTTTTGCACTACCTTCAAGAAAACCTTGGATCCCGCATGGCTGCTCTGAAAGTGATATAATGTTGGCCTTTGCAGAACTCTGTTAAACATGCTGCTTAACGAAATGAGGAGGTTAATCAATAGAGAACAGAGAACTGAGCATCACATTTGGTACCTGCCACATAACATCTGCTTCTGGAAGTAAATTTGGTGCCACGCAGGTGTCTACAGCTTGTGGTAGTAATCTAATACCTTAACCATACATACACAAAATTGAATGCACATATTTCTAAGGGACCCAGCAATACCAGGAGAATTACTGAAAGAAATAAGGCATTAGCATACATATCCATACTACCCTGTTTTTACTTTTAAAAGCATTATAAATCTTACGGATTTAATTAGTGTATTTTTACAGTATATTTCTGAGTTTGTTAAAATATGATATTAGTGATTGGTTTGGTTCAATTCCAGAATCTCTGACTAGTTACAGATTTGATAGCACTTAAATGTAATTGATGCTTCTGCTTCGTTGCCTGGGGTGTACCAGCATGTTATGAACTAATCACTATTAAACCTATGGCTTAACCAGTCAGTAATGATTTTCAAGGATAACTTAGCGGCCTTCTGAAGACTTAATGTTGGTTCATTGAAGCTCTGACCAGTTTTTAACCAGTTTAACTGTATCTGGTATAAACAGTTCTCATTTTTCTTTGATGGTATGACAGAGTGGGTTTTTCCTTTTGCATAAAGGCAAATAACTGTGTATGTAGCATGGATTTAATTTGTCTTATAATATTGATAATTGCAGGCAGAGAAATTTTAATCAAATGATTAGAGCTTAAATATTTGCAGGCAGTTTCCCCCCACTTAGGAAAAGGTAAAAGTACACACTCGGGTTCTTCAGAAAATGTAGTGGCGCCTGTTTCCGCTTGGTATTTCCTGATTAAAACATGGCAGAGTTTTTGGGAGGTAGAAGAAGGGAATCGTAGTGGGCTGGGGGAATTGATGGAGAGGAAGAGGCAAGGATCTGCTTAAGAACTAAGCAGAAGCCTAATTTAACGAAAAGAGACTCGTGAAAAAGGTTTGGGTTTTTGGGAGTTTAAGAAATCACTCTCTTGCCAACACAGCTACGGACTGATTTTATTCAGGGGAGGAAAAGTTCCTTAGAGTTACTTTTATTATTATTTTTCTTTTTCTTCTTAACTTTGGAACCTTACAAATTGAAACTTTTTCATTTTTAAATTATTTGAGCATAAAGAGCTATTTAAATATTAGGAGCTTAAAATAAAAAGGTTTCCAGAAGACAAGTTTAACATAAGCTGATCCCCGGCAAGCCGTGGCTCTCTTTTTCAGTATTTAAAGCCTGTGAACAGTTTCCCTGAATGTCCATGACATGTTCCTGGCCTCTCTCTAACACTAGACTGTTAAGGAAGCTCATTGGCTTTCAGGTGCTGATTGGAATCTGTCCTCTTGGAGTCTGGGGGTACTGCATAGGTCCCGTTGGAGCCAGTGGCAAAGAAGGCATCTATGGATGTGACGCTTTAATCACACAAGACTCGGTGTTTGGAAAGTTGTTACCAGTACTTTTAAGCAACAGTCCAAGAAAAATCACTCTCTATTTTCTCTCACCACTAGAGAGAGAGTAGATTTCCTCCACACCACTAGAGAGAGAGTAGATTTCCTCCACAGAGAGCACAGCTCCGTTAGTAAGGATGGTGACTCTGGCAGAGGTGGATTGATCGCTGAAGGCCAGGTGGGAGGTGGCAGCAGCCCAGAAATGGCAGGGTGACCTGGTGGTTCTGCCCTTGGGGAGGAGATTGGGTTTTACTGTTTGTATATTTATACTGTATCATAGATACAATACTTTTCCTTATTATCTGTGTATATATTAATTTTCATGTTTATGATATTTTCCCCCATACCAAGATTTGTTTATATTTTTTTTCAATGTTAAATTAAATTGATTTGGGTAACTTTTTTTCCCCAAGAAAGTATTTTCCCCTGTGACTTAAGTATGTATCTGACTATCGAGAGTGGTTTTTGCCTTTGGACTAGTTGGCCTCTAAGGATTTGTTCTTATGTCGTATGTAAAGTAGCTATGTTATACAGTGGCTTGTAGACAGTATTCATTTGAAATCTCTTGCCCATCAAGACTGGGTAAAATAGCGTCTCTTATTTTCCAAAACAAACCTTAGAAACCTTCATGTACTCTTGAATCATAGGTGTTTGCCTTTTGCATCTTGGCCTTCACCTTTTCTCCTGTCAGCCCTCCTTCCTCCGTCACAAGGAATGCTTCTGTTATAATTCCTGGTCATTTAAATGGCACTGTACTTCGTTAGGGGAAAAGATACCTGACTGAATTCACTTGCAGAAAGAAGACTTGCCTGAATTAGTTTTAACGACAGATGTGGAAAACATTACAGTCAATTCAAGTGATCAGTAAAAAAATCTCACTAAAACTCCTTGTTAAAACCCTGATTAAAACTCAGGAGTATAAAAGTAGCAACAATTTTGGTGAGAGCCAAAAAGCACTAAGTTGACCATCAAACTGGATTTTTGCAGGCTTGATAAATAGGTGCACTTGAACAGCCATCAACACATACCGCTACTTGAGCATTGTACAGCAGTGGAGCTCAAAACCCAAGATCATCTGGGATGCTTTACTAAAATGGAGATTCTTGACCCTCATTCTTAGACATTTGGATTCACTTGATTGGACCAGGAATCTGCATTTCTTACAAACTTTCCAGGTGCTTCTAAATCAAGTCCTCTGTGGACTACTTTAAGAAACTCTGCTACAGAGAGTGGAGTTGGTTAAGAATATAATAGGTGATTTTTACACTGGACTGATTAACAAGAACCAAAAATGGCAGTTAAGAAAGCTGCCCCTGTGTGTTAACTAGTGGCCCTTCTCACACTGAAAGGAACGGGTGTATGGTTAACTTTGGGGATTCATTTTGGAATGAAGGTTTTTCTCTTGTGCCATTCCTGGCTCTTCCAAAGCCTGACGCAAATGAGAAGATGAACTCACAGTCCAATGAGATACAGATATTGGTGCAAGTGTGCTTGCTTTACTGCTTTGTTTTATTCCTTACAGAAGGTCTGTCCTACTTCTCTGCAGCATTGTTCCCTCTTTAGGTGGAATGATTCCTGTAACATAGATCTCTCTTGTTATTATAGAAGCATAATCTTTTAAAACTGGAATAAATCTTTGATATAATCTAGTCCAGTAGTAGAGGAGGAACCTACAGGAGGGGATGTGCCCCTGCCACACAGCCTCTTAGCGTTCACTTGGCACTAGACTCCATCCAGATACGCCGATTCATGGTAGTGAAATGATAGCAAAGGCAAATTTTAAATTTTTGAAGTATTTATTAATATATTCCTATAAAACATTTTAAAGGCAACTACATAAAATGGTTAATTATTCCATTCTATAGTAAATGGCTAACCATGCTTATTAACGAAGCAGTATTATTAGTGTATGACATTCTGAAGTTAATGAAAATGGCTACACTAACTGTGTCTTCCTTGGCATAGTGGGGGATTTGGGGATTGGAATATACAGTAGAATGCTTGAGTAAGCCTGTGAGCCCATCTTACCGGTATCTGAAGTAAGAAAAGCAACATGGCCGTATCTGAAACTAATGTATGTAAGGTGGATGTCCATTCCCAGCAGACAAAGGAATAAGGAAGCTTCCCCGACTCCCACTTTTCCAGCCCCACCTAGCCTCACTGATACATCTTGCAGCCTAAAACATGGAGATGTGTTCGTGCATGGGGCTGGCTCCTGCCAGCAGATAGCTCTAGGTAATGATTTCAGAAGTTCCTCACACAGAGAGGAAAAGTAGTTTTTTTGTTTGTTTTTTTAAATAACCCAAATAGAAATTATTGTGGTATTCAGCACAATTGGAGTTCAGGTCTTTAATTTTAGAACATAAAGTGCCTGCTGTTTTAAGCATTGACTTGTATAAAAAGAATTGCATGTCTCACTCCAGTAAGCTTATGGGTTTTCTCATTTTCAGCTACATGGCTTTTAATCATGTAAAGTGAAACATTAGTTTTGTTGCATTTTATTACAGGTTCTTTGTTGCAATAAAGATGCTGCTAAAATGAGTTGAATGAGGTATTCCTTCACCACCACAACTACCATCCCACATTTGAACAACCCTGGAGTGACTAACACACATGGACAAGGTCATGGGCTTGCAATGGAGAAGGGAGACTGCAGGGTAAAGGATTACAGGGTAGTTTTAAGTATAAACATTAACAAAAATGTAGTTAAACCCAAAGGGAGGTGTGCAGAGAACTGCTTTGTACATGCAAGTGGGTCCCAACAACCAGCAGTCTGGTACTGCAAGGGCCCGCGGAGCTTGGAGCCAGTGATAAGTGAGTGTATGCCCCCTAAGCAGCTGGAGCTTTCCTAGCCACTGTTCCACTAGAATTCTTGGAGTTGATAGAGGTTTCTTCCTAACAACTGTGTTTTGAAGCTATGCTAGAGAAAGGGGGTGGGGAGAAGTAGGTGAACCTTCTAAAGTTAGTAAATTTGGGTTCCTCCAGGACAGAGACTTAATCTATAACCCCCTGAAATTGTATGCAAAATATTACATGAGTGAAGGGAGATGCGTTTTTTCTGGGGAGAAAGTTCTTGGCTTTGGTCAGATTATCAAAGGGATAATGATCCTAAAAAGGTTAAGAACCACTACTGTTTCGAGGGTCTTAAATTTTTCATTTGTATACTAAAGTTATCATGAATAAAGAAGACCTTTAAAAAAGATGCTATAGACCAGTGCTTCCTTTTCACCTCATGACACAGATGTTTGTATGACACTCTGGGACAAACAGGCACACTGGGATAACCAGTTGAGGCTGCCTGCAGCCAGAAATGACTGGCCAGGCCCACCCCAGGGCTGACGAGATGAGTACCTCAGTGTACCTATAATCCATTCATTGCACTCCAGTTGGGAAACTTTTATAGACAATAGAGCAACCTTGGTCTGTTTAACCAAGTCTCTGGCCATCTGCATCCTGCAAAGACTGATGGAGTTACAGACTTCCCAGTGAGTAGCTCTAGGGCTCCAGTGCTCTAGAGGCCTATCAGAGTGAGTGCTGTGTACCTGAGGCCTTTGAACTTCACCCTTGAGTCTAACCTCACCCACTTGGTGGTTATGAGAAGGAAGTGATTGAGCCCTTGGTGCTTATTTTGAGGGGCAGAGTTGAAACAGCAGCAGTATGAGAATCTCATAACCAGAGCATAATTTTATTTTGGGCTTGGAATGGTTTGGGAAACTGCAATGATAGAAATGTTCATCAGCCTGGCTATTGGATGCTCTGGCCCTGCCACTCTGGAAGAGGTTGAGCTCCCATTAAAATGGATTACAGGGGTTTCCGCTCTGACGTGGGCGCTGACTTTGCTGTTTGCTTCTTTCTGAGATGCTTTCTCTAAATTGATCCCCAGACTTGAGTTCTTGAAATAGAAGTTTGAGGAAGCAGTGAGCCAGGATAATTGTCCTTAGCCTGGTCCAGGAATTCTCCCCATCTTCACTGGAAAAACTGTAGAAGTGGCATGGTTTATTTTAACATTGTACTCACAGGTGACAATTCTTTGCAGGTAGGTCTTCTGGCCAGGGAGGTTCTGGAAACCACACAGCTTTTCTGTAAAACTCCATGTTGGCTTGGTGTCTGTGCATAGACAAATGGTCGCCATTGCATCCCTCAGCATGCACGTGAGTGCTGCTGTCAGTGAGTCAGTTGAGTACTTAGTCGTGTGTTTGCCTCACAGGTTAATTGCTTCAAATTATTTCAACTGTCCCTTGCTCTTCATTTCTATTACTGCCCCCACCCCAGCCTAGTTCCCTTGTTCTCATGCTGGGTAATTGTAGCATTTCTCTACATAGCCTGAGCTGGGGTTGAAGAATAAGAATTTCAAGTGACTTTAAAGAAGTGGTTCTCAAGTTTCATTTGGCAAATACTTAGCAACAGCCACGTGGCAGGCCTGTGTTAGACCATGAGAAAATAAAGATGAAGGAGACAGTCCTTGCCCTCACTAGGCTCACAGGACCAGCTTCACACCCAACTGGACACTGCCACTTCTTTAAAGGCAAGCTCAGCTCTCCTGCTCAACTTGGGGTGGTTCCTCAGTCCTTAATTAAATCCAAGTTCTGCCTGACATTCAAGGCCCTGTGTTACCTGACCTGTCCTCACTTTCCCTCAACCCAACATGTGCCCAGCCTCCTCACTCACCCACAAGCACCCTGAGGGCTTCCTGTTTCTGTAGAGTACCTGCTTTGATGTGAGACCTAGTTCCGACCTCAACTCCCTGATTTAGTAACTTTGACTGTCAATAAATATTTTGATCTTTCTGAGCCTAAATGTCCCCATCAATAAAGTGGAGATTAACTGAGATAAGGCAATCAATGTTAACCCCTCTTCCCCTGCCTTGAATACACACTTTTCTCCATCTCCCCTAATCCTACCCACCTTCCAAGGTCCAGCTCAAGTCTTAGCTGCTCCTGATATATTTCGGCCCTGGTGTTCCTCATCTTGGAATTTCTACAGAGCTTAGATGGGAACCTCACCACCTCAAAGAGGTGGTATCGAAAAATGGCACCAGAATTGGCTTTGGAGCCTGGCTTCAAACCTTGCTTCTGCTACTTGCTATCTTTGTGGACCATGTTCGTGGTCTTGGAGAAGACCCTTGGTTTCCTGAGGTGTGGAAACCCTGGTGGTGCAGTGGTTAATAGCTACAGCTGCTAACCAAAAGGTCGACAGTTCGAATCCACCAGGTGCTCCTTGGAAACCCTATGGGGCAGTTCTACTCTGTCCTGTAGGGTCGCTATGACTCGACTGCCGTGGGTTTGGGTTTTTCTTTTTTTTGCTTTTGCTAGGTGTAAAATAGGAATAATAGACTCTTC